GTCAACACATTTACCATAATTAAATTTTTTTATGAAAAGAAATATATAATTCTTCCATATTTGGCTAGTCCTTATTTCTTGGAGGAAAAGGTTTTAGACTTCTATAAATTAGAGATCATTCCTTCTTATTTTAGTAGCATCAATAATGTAGCCGTAAGAGGTTTGAGAGTCTTGTTTAAGGAATGGAACAAGTGTTAGTCTGTCACTCATAAGTGCCTCTTTGTGAGGTTATTCTTTCGAAATTTTATACTTTCTTTTATATAATAGATTGCTCAACTCCGCTTGTGGACGTTGTACAATTGACTGAACCATGTTAAATCTTTATGTCTCTTCTGGTATATTTCTTTTTTATTATCTAATTTATTGTTATTTTGCTTTGCTAGCTTTCGCATGACACCTGATTATTATGATACTAACCACAATTTGGCACATCTACGTGATAGTATTTTAAATCTAGGCCAATATTCTCCAATAGGATTAATAGGCTTTAGATGAGTCTACAAGCCTGTAAAATGGAGGGACTAATACGATCATTTACCAAGCATTAAGAGCAGGTTTAATGTAGATCATATAATTAGCTTGTATAATTAAATATAATATTTATTTTTGTATACGGTCAAAATCGGGCTCGCCCCTTGTGTGACTAATCGAGAATGGAATATGTAGGTTAAGCCTCGAACTCGAATTATATTGAACCATGGTGCGAGGTTATATCGCTAAGTTCGACCCTATGACCGAACAAAATCGAGATTAGGCGAGATCGAGGGAAGTTTTCCAAGCCGAATAACAGAAGGACGAAATATTCGCGATCGGTTGTAGATAACGGCGAAAATCTTGGCACGTATCAAGGATGGGCCGATTAATTAGCTAATCATGAGATTTCTTACCTCATATAGAACTATATCAAGAGTAGAACTCCCCTATTATATAAAGGGAGTTTGATTATTTGTAAAATACATCATATTTATGCAACATAAAGCAATATACTGTCATTTTCTAGCTTTTATTATCTTGTTTCTCTGTTCATATGTCAGTTGAAATATTTTTGGTTCAAGGGTGATCGAACTCGAGGGCCAAGGCTATTCAATTCGTGTGGTTTGCATTTATTCTTTTATCGTCAATTTCAATATTAATCTATTCTCTTAATTTGTACTAAGTTATATCAAGTATCCTTAAAACCTCGTATAAATTCTATTGTTATTCGATTTTAGGGTAAACAGTTTGGCGCCTACTGTAGGGCTAATGATAATAGTGATTATTTGGTGCAAACTTTCATAACACACACTATTTTACACTTGTTCTTTGGAGTATCTTTGATTCCTAGACCAAATGTCGAACTCACAGTTGGCACCCCTTGACGTTGACAATGATTTTGGCCACCATAGCGAGAATGATAACATAGCACCAGGGAATGACGTACCCCCGGTCGATCTCAATGGAGTTTCGATTGTAGATCCAATTGACGTCAACTCACATATAGCCATCAACGCAAATTTGGTTGTCGATCTCGAGGGCAACGTCTATAGGGATGTTCGATCAGCCGCTCAAAGCACACATGGTGACGAAATGTTGCAGGCTCAATAGGCAGCTATAGCCCAACTCCAAAACCAAAATCGCCCACCGGGCAGGATCGAGCCCGAGCCATCCCAAGAAGTTATCTACAGGGTCGAATCAACTTCAAGGAAATTGAACAAGAAAGAATCGGGGACCGACCCTGCAATCATAAAGATGCTCGACGAATTGACAAAACGAATCGAGTCGGGGGAAAAGAAGATCGAGGGAAATGACAAAAAGGTGAAACGTATAACTCCAGGGTCGATCAAATCCCGGAGGCACCACCAATACTGAATGGTCTAGATTCCAAAAAGTTCGTGCAAAAGCCTTTCCCCCCGAGCGCGGCTCCCAAGCCAATCCCCAAAAAGTGTCGCATGCCCGAGATTCATAAATATGATGGAACGACCGATCTGAACGAGCATGTCACCTCTTACACATGTGCTATTAAAGGGAATGATCTAGAGGATTACGAGATCGAGTCTGTCTTGTTGAAGAAATTCGGGGAAACCCTGTCAAAGGGAGCTATGATATGGTACCACAATTTACCACCTAATTCTATTGACTCATCCGCTATGCTTGTAGATTCTTTCGTAAAGGCATACGTCGGGGCCATCAAGGTGGAAACCAGGAAGTCAGAACTTTTCAAGGTAAGGTAGAAGGACAATGAAATGCTCAGAGAATTCGTGTCTCAATTACAAATAGAACGGATGGATCTACCACCGGTCGCTGATGATTGGGCTGTTCAAGATTTCACCCAAGGACTCAATGTTCAAAGCTCGGTGGCCTGGCAGCAGCTGAAGCAGAATTTGATAGAGTACCCGGCTGTCACCTGGGCCAATGTGCATAATCGGTATCACTCGAAGATCAGGGTCAAAGACGATCAACTCGGGGCTCTGTCCGGGTCTATTTATCCTATTTGACCTGTCGACAGAATCAAGAGGGATATTAATTGGGAACTGAGGTTGAACATAGATCGATATCAACCATATAGCGGAGATCGTAGAAGGAGCGGATCTGGGAGAAATCATGTACGAAATGAAAGAAGAAGTGATCGAGGTCAGATCTCTCGAGGGCTCATTAGCAAGAACGACTTCGACAAGCCTATCATACCTAAAGAAGCACCTCTATTATCATAATACAACTTTAATATTGATGCAGCCACCATCGTATCAGCCATCGGATGCCAAAGATACCAGATAGCCTCGACCTCTACAAACCGATCCAAACCAAATGTGCGAATATCATGGAACCCAAAGCCACAGAACAGAAGATTATCGATAATTGAGAGAAGAAGTAGCCCGGTTATTCAACAACAGGAATCTTTGGGAGTTTCTAAGAGACCGAACCAAGAATCATTTCAGAAACAGGGATTCCAGTAAACAAAACGAGCAAGAAGAACCCTAGAACATCATTAATATGATCATTGTCACACCTCCTTTTTCCGGCACCGCGAGGGTACAAGGAGATTTTTCCAATTAAAGGACAATCGAAACAGGATTTGTTTATTTATTTCAGAGTCGCCACTTGGGAGATTTAGGGTGTCCCAAGTCACCAATTTAATCCCGAATCGAGGAAAAGAATGACTCTGTATTACAATCCGCGAACCAGAAATCTGGATAAGGAATTCTGTTAACCCGGGAGAAGGTGTTAGGCATTCCCGAGTTCCGTGGTTCTAGCACGGTCGCTTAATTGTCATATTCGGCTTATTTATCTGATTTTATACAATTATGAGCTCATGTGCAAGTTTTAACTCTTTACCGCTTTTATTATTATATTTCAAAAGAATGTGAACATCGTTTAAAAACATGTCTTTGGATTGCGTCACATGAAATGCACCCGCAATCCGGAACACATTTTTATTCAATGTTTTGGGACTTGGATTTGGGTCGCATGAAATGCACACCCGAATTTAAGAAGGTAAGATTATTAAAATACGCCTAAAGAGTCTAACGCGTTATTATCTTTGGGGAAGACAGTGAAATTCACTAAACAGTCCATCCCGAATTCGAAATATTCAATTAAACGTTTATTGAGGGCCCCACAATTAGTGCGTTTTATTGGGCGAGACTCATCTCATTTATTTTTAAAAGACAATCCTAAAATGCCTACATTTTCTCTATTAAATTTATTTGTCTCTACAANCAGTAGCATACAACAACAGCAACCCCAGCAACCAGTAACAACCAGCAACGAGAAACCAGTGACAAATTTTAAAATCAAGATGAAATCCCAAAAAAAAACACCGACAACAATCAACGGACAGAAGCCAAAAGAATTTTTTCAGATTTGAAAGACTAATTAATGTTCAACCCTTAATTTCTGAATCCGTATATCAGAATACTTAAATTGTATATCGGGTGTATACTATTCTTCTTTTGAATTTCCAGAATGTTTTTCTTTTTATTTTCTGAATCTTAGTATTTTCGGAATTTTCTCTCTTTAATATACAGCTCTTTTTGTCTCTATCTCTCTCTCTCTTCTGTATTCTCCTGTATTCTGTCCCTTTAAAATCTGATTCAAGTCTTTCTATTTATATCCCATCCCAAAACCTTTAATCAATTAATAAAACCACCACTTTCTCCTACCAAACCCACTATCTTCCCACTCATCCCCTTTTTAATCCCACTACGTAATGTTTTGTCCCCCACTATATTAAATAAATATATCAACCCAACCCATTACATCTTGTCTCTCATGCTTACATTAAATAAATACATTATTCCCCCACTAATTTGTGTCTTGTCCCCCATTATATTAAACAATTATTATCAACCTCACCCTATTACATCTTGTCCTCCATGCTTAACATAAAGAATTATTCAAAATGTTCAATTCCCAACTACCCCTCTGACCTTATTGCAATTACCATTTTACCCCTGAACGTACTGCAATTTACCAAACTACCCCATCAGCTATAACCAATTCACTTAATCAATCTCAACCAAAAATATGGCCAATATGACCAATTTCTAAACAAATTCAACAACAAATCATATGAACACGGATGAATCATTCAACTTTCAATTAATGGAAATAAATTAACCATATTGGGAACCAATCCTGGTTAACTTAGACAAAATAAATGAGCAAAGAGACAACAATATCAACAACAAAAATAAACTGAACCAACATGAATCACAATTAACCAAAATGATGCAAACTGAAATCATACCATGAACAATAAAAAGCAGGAAACCAAACAATACACAAAACGAAATCATTTGAACCAATACGAGATTAGCAAAGATACTATACATTCTACAACTAATAATCATGAATGACAAACCAATCGAACTTAAATTCTACTAAACAGAATTCAACAAAATATTTGAGACCAAGATTCAACTAAGAACGATTTAAACTCCTTAACCCATAATATTTAAATAGATTTTAACGGCTCTCATCTTACTCACATATGGATCATAAAATGAGAAAAGGAGATGAGATCAACAACCTTGATACCAGTCGAGAATTTGTTGTTCGGTTGCTTGCTCAACAAAGGCAAGAGCTTCACTATGAATTGGCAAAAAGTGATCGGTGTTATTGTCGCCTCTCGCATCAAGGGTGGCTCTACCAACATGGACAGTGATAGGAGAGCCAGTATTGAGGACACGTTGACCACGAACCATACCTTCATCACAATCCATAGCAATAGTCCTAACCATATTCTCACTCAAATGTTGAGCAAACTCAAGCACAAGTCGGATCTGGTTATCCAAAACCTCAAACGCAGTAAGGATCGGCGGCAAACCATCATCGAATCTCACATCTACGACGACACCAATAACCTGACACACTTTCCCGATCGAACCCGCGTTGGTGAATTCATTGGTGACTTTCCCAGTAGGTTCATTATCGGAAGGTTTAGGAGGAGTCGCCTTCGGCTTCTCAGTAGCAACGCAGCAGAAAGATATTGGTTTAGCGACGACACGGGAGGGCGTTTGGTTGAAGACGATGACAATGAGGTGAAGCAGAAGCAGCGGGGTCGTTTTGTGCGTGAAGGAGACGCAGCAAGCAGAAGCAGAAGACGATGTTTGGATGACACAATCGCGCTTGGAGCTTACGTCGTTCATGGCGGACGAAGCAGTGGCAGTGGTCGTTTGGGCGTGTGGTTGCTTGTGATGAGAAGATGAAGCAGCAGCCATGGTCATTCACGTCGCTGCTGGAACTTGACCAAGAAGAGGGCAGCCATGAACGATCTTTGAGCTCGACATGGAGAATATGAGCTTCTTGGTGGTGTGTGTGTGTGTGCGTGAGGGGGAAAGGGCAGCAGCTATGGCTGGGCTTGGAGAGTTTTTGGAGAAGAAGAGGGAAAGAGATAGGGGGCGGATGAGTTTGTCTAGGTTTAGGGTTTTTTCTTTTTTTTTTGTTTTATTTTGTGAAGTGTAAGGTAGGAAGATAGGGGTGTTGGGTATTTGGGTTAATGAACTGGGTCGACCCGATTTGGAATGGACCGGGTCGTAGGGATGGTTGGATATTTTTTTGGGCTTGTAGCTTGAATTAGAATAAGAGCCCAATTCCGATTTTTTTGTATTTTTGCTCTCTTTTCTTTTTTTTATTTTTTCCAAAACTAAATTCTAAAAATTCTTAAATTATTATTAAGTTATAAAAGCGCAAATTAACTCCCAATAACAATTAATGCACAATTAAGTAATAATTAAGCATAAAATTGTATATTTGTACACTAAATGCTAAAAATGCAAAAGATGCCTATTTTTGTAATTTTCAATTTTTGTAAAACAAACTTAATTACTAACAATTATAGAATTAAATCCTACATGCAAAATGCGACATATTTTTGTATTTTTTATTAATTTAACAAATAAACATGCACAGACAAATACAAATAATTATCCAAAAAATATCACAAAAATTCTCAAAATTGCACACCAAGGAAAATCATTTTATTTTGAATTTTTGGGAGTAATTCTTTCATAGGGAAAAAATCACGTGCTTACAATCATCATAAGGGTCGATGTTCTTCAAGGTCCAATTTTAAAGCGCACCAAAGTATAGATTACGAGGGAGAAACAAACTCGGCCTATAGGACCAGAATGATGCACTGGTAATTTCGATACTTATGAATAAAACTCGAGTTAAGCGTATGTTAATTGCTCCAGGTAGCTCGGCCAACACATTTGATCGAGGGTCGTAGAACAACTCGGCCTATAGGACCAGATCGTACATGTAGCCCCAGTGTTATACAGATTCAACATGGCTTGTAAAACTATTAAGGGAGAAATAATGTTACTGGTAAACACAATCGGAATCATCCAAAAGACCAAGTTTTATGTGATCGAAGGGGATAGGAAATATAACGCCCTATTGGGGAGGCCGTGGAACTATAACTTGAGGGTCGTGCCCTCGACCCTTCACCAGGTATTAAAACTCCCAACGCAAGAGGGGATTAAAACAATCTACAGGGAGCAACCTGCTGCGAGGAGATGTTTGTCATCGATGAAGTGATTCCTATATCGACACTCTCATCGACAAAGGAGTCAGATTTGAAAGCAAAATAGGAGGACAAATAGCAATCATCGATGCCAGCCTCGACCCAACTGGATAAACGGGGGACTGAAGAAGACGATGATTTTGGGGTTCCTCGATCCTTAATAGTCCCCAATGATTCTGACGCTACCAAATCAACAACCAAAGAGCTGGAGTAAGTCACACTGATCGAACATCAGTCCGATAAAAAGATATACCTAGGCACAGGGTTAACCCCCGAGATTAGGAAAAAACTTATTAAATTTCTTATAGCTAACATGGATTGTTTTGCTTGGTCCCACTTGGGCATGAAAGGGATCCCACCGGAGATCACCACTCACAAACTGAGCCTGGACCCGAAATTCCATCCAGTCAAGCAGAAAAGGAAACCACAGTTCGAGATCAAGCATACTTTCATCATGGACAAAGTAACTAAACTCCTTAAAATAGGGTCCATCCGGAAAGTCAAATACCCGGAATGGCTACCAAACGTAGTAGTAGTCCCTAAAAGGGGGAACAATATGATAATGTGTGTGGATTACAAGGATTTAAATAAGGCATGCCCCAAAGACTCTTTCCCTCTGCTTAACATCGATCACATGATTGATGCCACGACTTGCCACAAGATCTTCAATTTTCTTGATTCTTATTTCGGGTACAACCAAATACGAATAAACCTGGATGATCAAGAAAAGACCTCTTTCATCACTAAGTACGACACATACTGTTATAACATAATGCCATCTGGGTTAAAAAATGCTGGTGCCACTTACCAATGCCTAGTAAACTGAATGTTCTAAGAACAAATAGGGAAATCTATGGAATTTTACATTGGCGATAAGTTAGTTAAGTACCTGCAAGCAGAGGACCATTTAAAGCATTTGCAGGAAATCTTTAGTATACTAAAAAAGTACAACATGAAGCTGAATACGGAAAAATGCACGTTCGGAGTCGGATTAGGTAAATTTCTCGGGTTCATAGTATCCAACTGAGGAAGCGAGATCAAAACCCCAACAAAATCAAATCATCGAGGATATCACGGTAGTGGACAACGTGAAGGTTGTGTAAAGGCTAACCGGGCACATAGCCACCCTGGGGCAATTCATCTCGAGGTCCTCTGACAAGAGTTATCAATTTTTCTCGTTGCTGAAGAAGAAAAACAACTTCACATAGACCCCTGAATGCCAATGGTCCTTGGAAGAACTCAAGCGATACCTATCGAGCCCGCCTCTACTTCACACGCCGAAGGCGGACGGACAACTATACTTGTATTTTGCAGTATCAGAGATAGCGGTAAGTGGAGTCCTAGTTCGGGAAGAGCAAGGTATGAAATTTCCGATTTATTATGTTAGCTGGACCTTGGGTGACGCCCAAACTAGATATCCCCACCTAGAGAAATTGGCGATCGCTTTGATAAGTGCCTCTAGGAAATGAAACCGTACTTTCAATGTCACCCTATATATGTTGTGACAACTTACCCATTGCGAAATATAATGCATAAGCCTGAACTCTCGGGGTGATTGGCCAAATGGGTCATAGAAATCAGCGAGTATGATATTGAGTATCGACCCTAGATGGCCATAAAATATCAAATTTTGGTAGATTTTGTGGCCGACTTCACGCCGGCCCTAATACCCAAGGTCAAAAGAGAGTTATTGGTAAACTCGGGGACGTCTTCAGGAATCTGGACCCTCTTTAAGGATGGTGCATCGAACGTAAAGGGGTCTAGAATTTGTATCGTACTGAAGGCATCCACAGGCAATGTAGTTAGGCAATCCATTAGAACTGTGAAATTGACTAACAATTAGGCCGAATATGAGTCCATGATTGCAGGTCTCGAACTGGCCAAGAGCTTAGGGGCGGAGGTGATCGAAACTAAGTGCGACTCCTTCCTTCTGGTAAATCAAGTTAACGGAATATTTGAATTCAGAGCATAACGAATGCAAATGTACCTGAATAAGCTACACGTACATAACATCGATTCAAAGGGTAGACTTTGCAGTACGTACCTCGAGATCAGAATAGTGAGGCAATGCACTTGCAAACTTAGGCTCTTCGGTCGAGGACGATGAGCTCAAATCGGGGGCAATCGTACATCTCATAATATCAGTAGTAGAGGAAGGTCACGCTGAAATAAACTTTACAAGCCTAACTTGGGATTGGATAAATAAAAACATAGAATATTTGAAGACCGGCAAAGTACCCTCAGATCCTAAAGAGTCGAGGGCCCTACGCATAAAGGCAGCTTGATTCAGCTTGTCCGAGGATGAAACCTTGTTTAGAAGAATGCTCGATGGCCCACTAGCAATATGTTTGGGACCGGAAGATACCGAGTACATTCTGAGCGAAGTACACAAAGGCACTTGCGGGAATCACTCAAGCGCTGAATCATTGGTTCGAAAGGTAATCATAGCCGGCTATTACTGGATCGATATGGAAAAAGATGTGAAGGAGTTTGTACAAAAATATGATAAATGCCAAAGACATGCTCCGATGATTCCTCAACTCGGAGAACTGCTGCATTCGGTCTTGTTACCATGGTCATTCATGAAGTGGGAATGGACATTGTTGGCCCTCTTTCATGGGCACCAAGTAAGGCTCAATTTATCCTATTCATGACTAACTATTTTTCTAAGTGGATTGAAGCCCATGCGTACAGGAAGGTCAGGGAGAAGGAAGTCATCGACTTCATTTGGGACCACATCATATGTCGGTTTAGGATGCCATCCGAAACCATATGTGACAACGTGAAACAGTTTATCGGCAGCAAAGTGACCAAGTTTCTCGAGAATCATAAGATCAAAAGGATCTTGTCCACACCTTATCATCCTAGTGGGAACGGACAAGCTGAATCGACCAACAAATCCATAATCCAAAACCTAAAGAAAAGGTTGACCGACACCAAGGGAAAATGGAAGGAAATTCTGCCCGAAGTCCTTTGGGCATACCACCCAACCTCGAAATCCAGTACCGGGGCTACCTCATTCTCATTAGTTTATGGCACTGAAGCTCTAATACCGGTCGAAGTCGGGGAGCCAAGTATCATATTCAGATATGCAACAAAGGAATCAAATGACGAGGCCATGAATACGAGCCTAGAACTATTGGATGAAAGGCGTGAAGCTGCCCTTGTTCGATTGGCCACCCAAAAGCATTGAATCGAGAGGTATTATAATCCAAGGGCCAACATTCGATACTTTAATGTCGGGTACTTAGTATTAAGGAAAGTCATGCTGAACACCCAAAATTTGAACGATGGGAAGTTGGGTCCGAACTGGGATGGACTATACCAGATTCTCGAGGTCACCAGGAAAGGATCCATAAGCTCAGAATGATGAACGGAGAACAACTACCGAACAATTGGAATGTAACTCGCCTAAAATGATATTACTGCTAAGGTACGACCCCATTCCTTTCCTTTTATTTTTTGACTAACACTTGCATTTGATTGACAAGAAGCAACACGAAGTTTAAGGTCTGAATGCACGCGTTGCACTCTTTTTTCCTTAGACCAATTTTGTCCTAAATGAGTTTTCTGGAAAGGTTTTTAACGAGGCAACAATGGATCGTGCTAACATAAAATCGAAGGCCGATCACGAATCGGTGTCAAAGATTGTGTTTACAGTATCCGAGGTTTCTCTACAATTAACCTCGAATA